GAATGTTTATGTTTATATTGCACAAGGCCAACAACTGCGAGTTTAAAAATTTTTAAGTATTGGAATTTTATTTTAAAATTATTTTAAATTGTTCTCGCGTTTTAATATTCGTAATGTTTAAATGAATGTACTATTGTTTAAATATTAGTTTGTTGTATTATATGTACATTAAATATTGTTGAATTAATTATAAAATTACCGAAATTATTAATTTGTAAGTTCTCGCGATTAGAAACAGAGATTATCTATGTGCACTGGTCGGAGGGCAAAAGGAAACTAACTCGCGAATCGTCAAAAATTAATCAAAAGAATGTTTATGTTTATATTGCGCAAGGCCAACAACCGCAAGTTTTAAGTATTGGAATTTTATTTCATAATTATTTTTAGTTAGTCGGGCGTTTCTTTCTTTATAATGTTTAAATGAATGTACTATTGTTTAAATATTAGTTTATTGTACTGCGTGTACATTAAATATTGTTGAATTAATTATAAATTTATCGAAATTATTAATTGGTAAGTTCTCGCGATTAGAAACAGGGATTATCGATGTGCACTGGTCGGAGGGCAAAAGGAAACTAACTCGCGAATCGTCAAAGTTAATCAAAGGAATGTTTATGTTTATATTGCACAAGGCCATCAACTGCGAGTTTAAAATTTTTAAGTATTGGAATTTTATTTTAATATTATTTTAAATTGTTCTCGCGTTTTAATCTTCGTAATGTTTAAATGAATGTACTATTGTTTAAATATTAGTTTGTTGTATTATATGTACATTAAATATTGTTGAATTAATTATAAAATTACCGAAATTATTAATTTGTAAGTCCACGCGATTAGAAACAGAGATTATCTATGTGCACTGTTCGGAGGGCAAAAGGAAACTAACTCGCGAATCGTCAAAGTTAATCGAAGGAACGTTTATGTTTATATTGCACAAGGCCAACAACTGCGAGTTTAAAATTTTTAAGTATTGGAATTTTATTTTAAAATTATTTTAAATTGTTCTCGCGTTTTAATCTTCGTAATGTTTAAATGAATGTACTATTGTTTAAATATTAGTTTGTTGTATTATATGTACATTAAATATTGTTGAATTAATTATAAAATTACCGAAATTATTAATTTGTAAGTCCACGCGATTAGAAACAGAGATTATCTATGTGCACTGTTCGGAGGGCAAAAGGAAACTAACTCGCGAATCGTCAAAGTTAATCGAAGGAACGTTTATGTTTATATTGCACAAAGCCAACAACTGCGAGTTTAAAATTTTTACGTATTGGTATTTTATTTTAAAATTATTTTAAATTGTTCTCGCGTTTTAATCTTCGTAATGTTTAAATGAATCTACTATTGTTTAAATATTAGTTTGTTGTATTATGTGCACTTTAAATATTGTTGAATTAATTATAAATTTATCGAAATTATTAATTTCTAAGTTCACGCGATTAGAAACAGAGATTATCTATGTGCACTGGTCGGAGGGCAAAAGGAAACTAACTCGCGAATCGTCAAAGTTAATCGAAGGAACGTTTATGTTTATATTGCACAAGGCCAACAACTGCGAGTTTAAAATTTTTAAGTATTGGTATTTTATTTTAAAATTATTTTAAATTGTTCTCGCGTTTTAATCTTCGTAATGTTTAAATAAATCTACTATTGTTTAAATATTAGTTTGTTGTATTATGTGCACGTTAAATATTGTTGAATTAATTATAAATTTATCGAAATTATTAATTTGTAAGTTCTCGCGATTAGAAACAGGGATTATCGATGTGCACTGGTCGGAGGGCAAAAGGAAACTAACTCGCGAATCGTCAAAGTTAATCGAAGGAACATTTATGTTTATATTGCACAAGGCCAACAACTGCGAGTTTAAAATTTTTAAGTATTGGTATTTTATTTTAAAATTATTTTAAATTGTTCTCGCGTTTTAATCTTCGTAATGTTTAAATGAATCTACTATTGTTTAAATATTAGTTTGTTGTATTATGTGCACTTTAAATATTGTTGAATTAATTATAAATTTATCGAAATTATTAATTTCTAAGTTCACGCGATTAGAAACAGAGATTATCTATGTGCACTGGTCGGAGGGCAAAAGGAAACTAACTCGCGAATCGTCAAAGTTAATCAAAGGAATGTTTATGTTTATATTGCACAAGGCCAACAACTGCGAGTTTAAAATTTTTAAGTATTGGAATTTTATTTTAAAATTATTTTAAATTGTTCTCGCGTTTTAATATTCGTAATGTTTAAATGAATGTACTATTGTTTAAATATTAGTTTGTTGTATTATATGTACATTAAATATTGTTGAATTAATTATAAAATTACCGAAATTATTAATTTGTAAGTTCTCGCGATTAGAAACAGAGATTATCTATGTGCACTGGTCGGAGGGCAAAAGGAAACTAACTCGCGAATCGTCAAAAATTAATCAAAAGAATGTTTATGTTTATATTGCGCAAGGCCAACAACCGCAAGTTTTAAGTATTGGAATTTTATTTCATAATTATTTTTAGTTAGTCGGGCGTTTCTTTCTTTATAATGTTTAAATGAATGTACTATTGTTTAAATATTAGTTTATTGTACTGCGTGTACATTAAATATTGTTGAATTAATTATAAATTTATCGAAATTATTAATTGGTAAGTTCTCGCGATTAGAAACAGGGATTATCGATGTGCACTGGTCGGAGGGCAAAAGGAAACTAACTCGCGAATCGTCAAAGTTAATCAAAGGAATGTTTATGTTTATATTGCACAAGGCCATCAACTGCGAGTTTAAAATTTTTAAGTATTGGAATTTTATTTTAAAATTATTTTAAATTGTTCTCGCGTTTTAATATTCGTAATGTTTAAATGAATGTACTATTGTTTAAATATTAGTTTGTTGTATTATATGTACATTAAATATTGTTGAATTAATTGTAAAATTACCGAAATTATTAATTTGTAAGTCCACGCGATTAGAAACAGAGATTATCTATGTGCACTGGTCGGAGGGCAAAAGGAAACTAACTCGCGAATCGTCAAAGTTAATCGAAGGAACGTTTATGTTTATATTGCACAAGGCCAACAACTGCGAGTTTAAAATTTTTAAGTATTGGTATTTTATTTTAAAATTATTTTAAATTGTTCTCGCGTTTTAATCTTCGTAATGTTTAAATGAATCTACTATTGTTTAAATATTAGTTTGTTGCATTATATGTACATTAAATATTGTTGAATTAATTATAAAATTACCGAAATTATTAATTTGTAAGTTCTCGCGATTAGAAACAGAGATTATCTATGTGCACTGGTCGGATGGCAAAAGGAAACTAACTCGCGAATCGTCAAAGATAATCGAAGGAACGTTTATGTTTATATTGCACAAGGCCAACAACCGCAAGTTTTAAGTATTGGAATTTTATTTCATAATTATTTTTAGTTACTCGGGCGTTTCTTTCTTTATAATGTTTAAATGAATCTACTATTGTTTAAATATTAGTTTATTGTGCTCAGTGTACGTCAAAGATTGTTTGAATAATTACAAAATTACCGAAATTATTAATTTATAAGTCTTCGCGTTTAGAAAGGGAGATTGTCGATGTACACTAGTCGGATTGTAAAGAGATATTAAATCGGTAATTGTTAAAGTTAAACGAACGTCCGTTTATGTTTATATTGCACAATGTCAACTACCCCGAGATTAAGATTTTACCGTATCAGAATTAAAATTATTTTAAGTGTCTCGCGCGTTTTGTTTTTCTTAATGTTTAAACGAATGTAGTATTGTTTAAATATTGCTTCATTATATACTGTGTACATAACTGTGTACATGAAATATCGTTTAAATAATTGAAAAATTATTGAAAATATTATTTTATAAGTTTTCGCGTTTAGAACGAGTGAGGTTCGTTATGCACCGATCGAAATAGTATTGGAATCTTATATTAAAATTATATTAAGTTTCTCTCATGTTACTGGTTTTTTAATGTTTAAACGAATGTTCTTTTATTTAAATAGTAATTTATTATGTTCCGTGTTGGTTAGAAATTGTTTAACTAATTAAAATAATATGGAAAGTAACTAATTTATAAATTTTTGCGTTTGAAAGGTGAGAGTTTCGATGTGCACCTGTCGGGGTGTAAGAGAAAACTAACTCTGAAATTCTTAAAGTGAAGAAGATGCGCGTTTATGTTTACATTATACAAGGTCATCTAATCCGAGATCAATATTTTAAAGTATCCGAAGTTGAAATTAAAATTATTTTTAGTTTCTCCCGTATTACCTTTTTTTAAACGAATCTACTATTGTTTAAATATTATCACATTGTATTCCAATTAGTGGTCGTTAAAATAATTGGAAAATTATCAAAAGTACTAATTACTAATTACTATTAAGAAAACTTAATTCTAGTTTAGAAAAAGACAGTTTCCATGTGCCCTCGTCGAAGTACAAAAGAAAATTAATTCGGTAATCGTGAATGTTAATCGAATTTCGTTTATGTTGATATTACACTTGGCCGATATTAAACGACCTCGAGATAAAAATTTTTAAGTATTGATAAATTAAAATAAAATTATTTGATATTAATATCATTTTTCGAGCTATGTAATGTTAGTTTATATTAGTTAATATTAGTTAATAGTTAGTTAATATTAGTTTGTAATACTTTTGAAGCTTTTTTTTTTCTTGAAATCTTGAAAAGATATTGATGAACAAGTTTTCATCTTAAATATGAAGCTTTAAGCGGGGATATTACTTTTTAAAATTTTTTCAAAAGCTTTATTTTTATGCATAAACTGTTGTCGAAAGAACACCATTTTTTGACATGATTTTTTTCAAAGAAAATCTTTTCAATGTTTTAGTGCCATTGTGATATAATTTTACAAAAACTTATACATCGATACGATAGGTGTATAATGGGTTCAATGTTTCCTCATTACGCTTGTAGTTTATATTTAGTAATTAAAGTTACATACGCTACGAGTGAAAGGTGATTAACAGTGTTGATTCTGAATGTAATTTTTTATTCCAACAAATACTATAATTAAACAATTAACATATGGATGTTACATATAGGATATGGTTAATAAGATTTCGAGTTAATTCTTTATAGAATATTTTTTATTTGCTCGGTTCCTGTTTTATACAAAACATCTAACAAACACAGATGCTTGTCGCCGAAGTGCTTTTAAAGTTTTAAAGTCTGTCTTTTACGGAAGCAACTAATCTATCGACTTTGCGTCTATCGAACGAATCTTTTGCCACTTTTCTCGTTGGATATGCTAAAAAGATAACGCGCTCGTCGGTTGTATTTGTGTATATATGTAATGTGTATATATGTAATGTGTATATATGTATTTTTGTATATATGTGATGTTCATGTGACCGTTTTCCATTGTATTAGTATGTATATGTTCGTGGATATGAGTGTGAATGTGTTTGTATGTATATGTTTTTAAATGATGCACTCGATCCTTTTTCGATCTTAATCGTCGATCTTAAATAATAATCATAAAAGAACGTTCCTGCGTTACGTAAAATTAAATGATTTTTTTTTAATCAAAGGACGCGTCAGGGAATCAGGGACGTAGAGGATCAGTGAGGAATGGCGAGATTGGAATAAGTTGCTAGGCCATATAGAATCAATCTCATAAATTCATGATATCTTCTTTCTTCATCGTCGTAGCAATTCAATTATATACAAATAGAATCGACCCTGAAATTCGTCGCATTATAAAATCGATGCATTGAAAGAAAAAAAAAGGAAAAGAAAAATTATTATCATAATCTTAATCAAGCAAGAAATTGTCAATGTCAACATAAATGAAAATAAAAGCATTTCGATTTAGTTGCGCGCGCCACAGTGCGTTGCGAGGGAATGCGCCAGCGGTTTTTTTTTCTTTTTTTTTTCCTTTTTTTTTCCTTCGAAAAATTTGCGGGAAACGAAAGTAGACGCTCACGTACTACGTACAGTGCGACATGCAGTACGTTTACATCTCTCTTTTTTTTTTTTTCTTTTCTTTTAATTTTCTTAACTTCTCATACCTGTGTGCATCATATATAGCTTTCTGTTAGAAACTTACTTGGCGAGAACGCTCGTTGTACGGTTGACCCGTCAACGTCTATTTAACAGTAAGTAACAACTTATATTTCAGCAACAATAACAATTTCACCTTCGGTGATCTCCCAATCGGAATTTCGCTACCAACGTGTCAGCTATCTTGCGTGTACTTTACAAATATCTAAATGTTATACATATATATATATATATATATATATATATATGTATTAAGTCTATCATAAGTATTCCACAATTTCGTGGCCGTAAACGGCTTCTTCGTAACGTGTCGCTCCGTGATAGGCGCGTTTTTGATTTTTTTTATGCGTTTATATTTTTTCTCTCTTCTTTTTATTTGTTTTCTCAAGTAGGAATCAAATTTATTTATACGAAAAGAAAAATGGAAAATCATTGATTAAAATACGAGCCATTGTATTTTTCCTGGAGAGAAGGGATAACGTGTTCACGTTACAAAAAAGCCGAAAAAGTTTATTAATCGCTGGTGAACTTACGGCAAAAATGACGGCACTAGCAGGACGTTTACAGCTCAACGAGATAATTCTCTCTATTAACTTTGCAAAGGGACTATGATCTATGGTTAAAACGTGATTCCTCTAGGAATGGTATGTGGTGTAGGGTTAAATTTTCTATGGACGTTTCTACCGGAACGATGTTCCGTAATCTCGTGCAGACTCATTATTTTGTGCGACGTTCCTTTGTTCCATACTCGTATACATTATTCTCTCTTTCTTTCTCTCTATTTGCATCTTTCTTTCCATCTTGTTATATTTATTACCAATCACCATCATAACCGTGAAAACGATATTCTCTCGAGAATCCGTCTGCGTTTTGTACAATGACACAAAAAAATGCCTTATCTCTTTTTATCTCTTCCTCTCTCTCTCTCTCTCTCTCTCTCTCTCTCTCTCTCTCTCTGTTTTTCTCTCTCTTTCTTTTTCTATCATTTCTCTTACGTATCGCGATCGCGTACACGAATAATTCTACTTAGCGGAAAAACAAAATTCGAAGTTTCCGAAGCGTGTTCTCTAATGATTCATTCTGCGCATCTCCATGGCTGCAATGTCGTCCACAGATATAAGCTTTTCTATGGGAATGCAAGATAGTTCACCGCCGACGCATGACTGAGGTTGTTGCCATCTAGCTTCCCTCTCTGCTTCCTTCGCTTTAAGTTCGGCCTCTCTCGCTCTTCGTTCTTTTAATTTTAACGAGAATATAGCGACCGAGCGTGCTCTCTTCATGAGGCTCTGTTTTACTCTCGTTTTTTTTGCTTCGCGATCCTCCCTACTTGGTTTCTCTTCTTCTTGACTAGAAATCGTCTTGCTCGAATCTGACAGACCACCAACACCGGAATCCTTTTCCTTTTCGGGTACGTAAGCTTGTCGATCACGGTGCTCGTGCGTTGTTTCTCTCTGTTGATGATGCTGATAATGTTGCTGCTTCTCTGCCTTCTCTCGTTCCCTTTCCTTTTCCGGTGAAAAACGGAATTTTGGATTTCTGTGAGTTATCACCCATGGCGGAGCAGACCTTAACGATGATAAATAAATAAAGATTTATCAGTCTCATCGTTAACGAAGATTAATACTTTTAATAATATATAATTATTTAATATATAATATGTACTTTAACAGATCACTATCCGAGGACGAAGCTAAATCTTTTGAAACAATGCAATCGGTGGATCTATGGAGAGTTAATTCTTCGGCAGTTCCGGTTACGGAACCAACTGCACTGATCTCAGAATCGCTCGATTTTCGTCCACCTGGTTCCAAGACTAATTTGCGTACCCAATCGACACCTCCGTGAGGACCGATTGTCAAGTGATGACCATAATGATCTCCCGTGTTCGATGATTCTGGTTCGTTGCTTAACCATTCTCTCGATCGTCGGCCTATAAGAACGAATGACATTAAATAATATGATTAATTTGATTTGCGAAAGGATTTTAAGGATATTGAGATTTAGGGAATGTTCGAACCTCTTTCTCCTCCAGGTATAGAGCATCTTGGTGTATTGTGAATGTCTCGACTACTGCCAATATTATTTTCAGAAAGGAAGGAATTGCTGATCTCGCTGCTACTTCCAATACTACCGGGTGACTCAGCCGTAAGCGATGTCTCCGCGATTCTTGGTATCGATGCGGCACTTGGAGTTGATGGTCTGCTCGGTGTTTGGGTCGTCGATGCTAAAGTAGGACTATCTGGTTGGCTGGACATCGAGGCGTCTCCGGTACGTTCACTCAACAGATGTGGCTCTTCGCTCTCTCCGTCTGCTGGACTCACCACGAATCTCCCTGAGTTCGAGCAAGATTAATAGCTGATAGGAGAAGGTCCAGGACAAATGGGAGATCCCATCGTCGTTTAGCTTTGACCTTCTCATACATATACGAGAGACATCTCTTCATGAACATGAACATGAATATATTTACCTATGACTGTAGAAGGTTGTTGTTCCGGTGATGGTGTCGAGGACAATCTTCTCACTGCCTCCCTTCTCAAAAATTCAACTTTGGCCATTTCCGTAGCAACCCAATGTGGTATATCCGGTATAGCACAGGTTATAATAAATCTGATTGCTAGCATAATGTGTTCCAATGCGACTATTAGTAAAATTGTTTGCGTCGCAGACATCTCTGGAAACATTCGTTGTACCTGTCCGCTTCGACTGATTAATGCGCAATTAACTAAAATCGCGACGAATCCCATAGCTTCCATAGCGTTCTACAGTAAAAGTATACATATATAGTGGGTATGAAACACATTTGAAAATTATTGATGAGATGAGTGTACTCGTAGGAAGGATGATGATCGATTTACCTGCCAAGTGCCGATATTTGATACCCTACGTCCAAAGGGTCGTTGGAGAACATAACATAACTTAAATGCATCTCCTCGTAATTCGATCAGATTACCAAGTAACGCAGCAACGGCAGCTAAAGGAAACGCTGACGAGAAGAGACATACATATCCTAATTGCGAGAGCATTTCTAAATGTTCCGAGAATGCTCGATCGTACTGTAATTAAAATTTAATTTTTTTAGATAGATGTTTATTAGCAATAAAATAACAAATCATATTTTCGTTATAACAATATCTTCTATTTTGTGCGATTTTTTTTTCTATTCATCTATCGCATGCTCTTTCTGCGTGTAATTTGCGTTCTATTATTAGGCATGCATGATATAAGTTAAATCGTAATAATGGCATTTCTAGAATAACATAATTTGTATAGCCTATATATATATATATGTATGTATATATTTATATGAGATAGTGTAAATCTTTATAGCTGATTGGAATGAATTATTCCAAACATATGTGGTGATCTATGTGATTTTTTATGAGCATACAGAAAAATACGTGATTTATTTACTAACGAAAAAAAAAAAGAAAAGAAGGAAAGCGATTGGGAGGAAAGTAATGGTTTCTACAGGTTTTAAAATTACAAGGAACTAACGTCCTAACGACCTTCATTACATTTGTACGATATATTAAGGACTTCAATCTTTTCTTTTTGTTCTTTTTTTTTTTTTTTTTTTTTTTTTTTTTTATAAAGATCATGCATGCTTGCGTTCGAATCGACGAACGACGATAGTTACTGCAGTTTTCCTTTTCTTGCACGAGTTTTCCGTTAGTGCGTTCTTAGGGGAGATTTGATTAGGTACATCGAAATTATGAAAGAGGAATGAAAAAAGAAAAAAATGGCTAAATCTAAATCAAACCTTCAAAGTAACGTCACTAAGAAGAGAATTAGTGGTGTGTCCTACTCTGTAGAGAGAACTCTCCAACTCAGCCTGGCTAACGTTCCTCGGTTGCTTCGTCTTTCCCGTTTCTGTTCGTTCATCCTTCTCATCGGAATTCTTCGTTTTCTCGTCGTCCTCGTCGTTACCAGGTGGTAATCTCGCTTCGCTTGGACTCAGAGCACCAAAAAGCTCAAAACTTAGTTGCGCTAGACGCAGTTGCTCTACCAAATATGGTATTGCGGATTCTTTAAGATTTCCAATCACTTGCCGTGCTATCAGTAACGCGGCCAGTTGCTAAAAAAAAAAGAATCGAATTTTTTCGCTAGTGATTCAATTTTTTATTTATTTATTTATTTATTTATTTATTTATTTATTTATTTCATTTTTCTTTTCATTTAATTCTTGTCGACGTCTTACATGAATCGCGAATGATTCGATTGTACAATAATGATTTATATACAGGGTGATTTAAAATGGAAACATACTTTTTTGTTTCATATGATTTATCAATGAAGATTAGAAACTGATTGTAGCATATTTTTTCTTTTATATGCTCTTTTGTTAATTATTAATTAAAAAAATTATTATTGAAAAAATGCTCTTGCTATATTTTATACTTCACCCTGTATATTGATTATTATTTATCAAATAAATAGGTAAAATGTGTCGTAAGTATAAATTACATTATATTTACAAAAGCAAAAAATCAATATTGAATTTTAATTCTACATCTTTTATATATTAAGGATATAATATCTAAACATTTCTTTCATATCTATCATATCTATATCATATTTTCTATCTTTCATACCTACATACATATGTGCATGACAATGTGATGCTATCTTACATGGTAATAAATGTCCATTTACAAGGATGAAGAGAAAGATAAAATTTATTTAAATGTGATGAGAAAAAGTGAGAAAGAGAGAGGGTTCCTTACCTCCTTGAGTCTTTCTTGGTCTTGAAGATAGAAGGCGATGTAAAATAACGATAGGAAGGAGTTTACGAACTGAAACTGAAATATATTGTTTCTTCTGTACACTTGCCGTATTTGTGAATAAATTATGTATTTCTTTTATTTTGTTTTTTTTTCCTTCGTTTTGATGTCACATATATATGTACACGCACGGACATACATAAACGTATTTGTTATGTACATACATACGTATATGCGTATGGCCATATATATAATACACGAGAAACTTTTCCTATATAACAACGTTTCTCAATCATTTTGTCGTGCGCCCCAATATATTTGTTTGCAATGACACAACGGCTCGAATGTTTATAATATAAATACAATTTTTACGAATGTAATAGACCAAAATCATTGGATATTATTTTAAAGATACGGATCTGTTATTGCGGTATCCTTGCAAACTCGTAAGAACATTCTATGAAAATATTTTAATAGCCCATCATTTTGCGATTCGTCCAAAATTTAATGCGCTCCAATATTAGGCTAAACGATCCATAAGTTTAAGAATATCGTTGCTATATAAGATATAAAGTGAAGCGTCGCGTTGAGAAGTGCTATTAGAAAAAAGAAGCGCAAGCAGAGAGCAAATATCAAGTAGAATTTTCATGCAGCGATAGAGACAGCCACGATAAGACATTTATTTATTTTTCGTAACGAAAATAAAGTGAAGGATCTAATCTTACTTTTAAAACGTCCACCTCTAAAATCACTATTCAATTTTTTTCTGTTCTTTTTCTTTTCTTTTTTCTTTTTTTTTTTTTTTTTTTGTTTTTTTCCTTTTATAATAATCATATCATTCTCACACATCTGATTACACGTGCATTTCTATTATCGCAAATATGAATATTTAAGATTTAAGACAACAGTCATACGTACCATATGATTTACTTATCGTTAGCCATAATATAGTATTAATAATAATGTGCAATGATTTTGTGAAAAAGATTATTTTTTGATTTTTTTTTTTTTCTTTTTTTTTCTTTCGTTACCAAAGTATCATTAAGGCAAGACTTTTGAAAACATTTTCATTTGGAATTGATAATCTCAATTGTACTTTGAGAAAGCACATGATGAAATCATCTCCGATTTAGAGGAGGACAAAATTGACGATACTAATACAACATTCATAATTTGCATTTGGTTGTCAAAATATCTTATTACCAGTGCCACCTTGTAGATCAGATGATTCTCGTACTCGGTGTCTAGTCGATAGTTTTCTGCGTCCAACACACAAAAATCAAAGATACTATCTACCATAAACTATATATAGGCGTTCTCCAAAAGATATATAAAAATAAGGAAAGGTAGTATAATTATACCCGAATAATTTTAGAATTATTCTCAACGATAGTTAGAAGAAGAGTAGATACATATTGGAAGTATATAGATAATTAGAAAAAGAGACTAGCTTTTATGTATCGTCTAGGGATATCGTACGTTCTTGATCGTTCTCTCTAGATAGAAGCTAAGCCGTGAGAAGAGATTTAGAAGTAAATATGCTAGGCTTCTCAGCTAGACGTGCACAAATGTGTATATATATATATATATATACATATATATGGTGTATATATATATATATATATATATGGTATATTTAGTACCCGTGGATATAATAATAAAGATTATTGTGAGACAATCGATAAGACGTCGATCGTTCGTAATTCTCGTATGAATCGGCCGCATACGTAACGGAAAGATTAAATTAAAGATACGTAGATTGATACGTTTTTCTCTCTTTAATTTTTCTTTATATACATACCCAAGTCATTCAACCAGACTGCGACTTTGAAGTACGCCTCGTCCATTAAGGCGATTACAACGGCCAATAATACTTTTGGCACGTAACTTAGCCAAAATCCGTAGCCTCCCGCTTCAAGACGTGCGTCCCACCAATCCTAATCGTAGAAAAAATCGTACCGATTTGTTTCAACGAAATAATCGATAATTACCCTAAATCATTTCTTATAGATTTTTATTGAAGTATTTTGAAAATGTTTCTATCGCGTTCTACCTGTATTTGGAAGCTCAGAATCATGACGACGAAAACGAAAAATAGACAAGCGGCGATGATGGGTACGCTGACAAAATATCGAAAAACATTTCTTCGCCATCTGGGGTAAGTTGGTTCTAGTCTTCCCGTGACAGGTGATATTTCTAGAGTACCCTACGAAATTGGATATGTCATTTGATAAATGACGAGCGATAAATTCGTTTCTTGTTATCTTTGATGAATTATTATTATTATTATTATTATTATTATTATTATTATTATTATTATTATTGATCGAAATCTTTACCGTGAAGAGAGGTCTAGGTTCGACCAACAAATCATCTCTTTGATCTAAAGTACCCCATCTATAGGCCAATTCGGCACCTCTTCGTTTCCAAGTTTCTAGATAAACTGTCGCCCAAATTACATTGAAGACTGAGAAAAGCACGTACGCCACATCTTCCACCGCTTGGTTCCTACCGATGATGCCGACCTTAATAAGGATTATATAATTAATGAAGTCAAAGCAACGTGTTCACCCTTCGTCGGATAATGACACTCATAAATATTTTACTTTACTTACAATCATGATAAAATCATCATCATAATAACGTGCTTCATTTTTACTTGTTTTAAAGTGTTTGTAAAACAATATATTTACCCAGTATATGACACCCACAGCAGCGGGAACGATTAAAGCGGTGGTGTAATGTCCGAGCCATGCGAAGTACATGCTGATTTTTACCCCAAAATATTTACAGATATCGTCCAATGGTTGGGGACTAAAAAATGCGCGAACCCATGTCTTTCGTAATTGTTCTAATGCCGGTAGTTCATGTAATGGGAAGACCTGTACGTTGGTAATGTATGAAACGTTGAGTTTTTTTAATCAATATTACGTAACAATATATATATATAAAAAAAAAAAAAAAAAAAAAAGAAAAAAGATAAAGAAAACACGTTCCCATATTGACCTGTGATATAATGCCTGCCGAGATGCACTTAGGAATAATGGCTTGTCCTTCCACCAATTTTAATCCTGATAAACTGTGAAGATCCTGCGGACCTGCTCTTAACGTATGAAGTAGGTGTAATACCAGGGACTGTCTTTCTTGGGTAGTAAAAAAATGAGCTTCGTCGTCGCTTCCTTTGAAGCAGCTCGCTTCGGAGCCTACGAATTCCTTCAAACCTCCGCCATATTCTTGGCGTAGAGCTTTTGGCAAGTGTACTTCCTCCGCGGCTTTCAACAAACTGCGAGATTTACGATTTCTTTTTTATCGATTAATGTTTCACGTGAGAGACGATTAATCGAGAAGATAAAAGATTCACGTAAGAAATTTTCAAAAGGAATATTTTGGAGAGATCATATATGTATATATCATCTAAAGTACTATAGAAATGTCAGAAAAGAATGGAAGCAAATTCTACTGTATAAGATCCAAGATTAATGTGTCAAGAGAAGTATAGCGCTTCCTTAGAAGTTTCTAATGACTCTGACGTTGAGTACAACAATAAGACAGCTTACTACGTACTTACACGCTAAAAGGTGCCGTTAAGTAAAACCCGTAACTATCTGAAGAGGCATGATGTCTGACGTGTACCACTAGGCCAGGGGTCCCAGCCCGAAGTCGGCCTAAAAGCCACATCAAAGTTTCGTCGCTTGCACCGTTCGGAAACATCATCACGACGTCGCATTTCTATAACATAAAGGAATGTCAAGAACGTATTAGTAATTTTTTCCAGATACTGTCATTCGTTTCGTTATTTATTATTACGGTACATTTAAACAAGATATAACATGATTTCTTTATCGTATAGCCACGATACGTACGGTTCTAACTTTGATATGGCACATCATTCAAAGCCGCGAATGTTGCCAAAGGTTTATGACTTTTTGCTAGCGTGGCTGTCATTCAAATGCATAGACTAGTAGCAGATTTTCTGATATTGTTATATACCTATTAACTACTACATAAAATAATATATCTTTTACTTTACCGTCACGTTGATAAAAACGTGCCGATCGCGTCGATAAGAATGCTCGCATATTCAATCATCGATGCATCCCTGTTTGTTGACACTTCTTTTCATTATGTTTTATATTCCACTTCTTCTCTTATCTATCTCTTATGGTAGATCAACTTCTATGTGCACGCTAAAGTTGTTCACATTCGTGGATAAGGAAGTTTGTTGATATAACACAAAATCAATACGAAGGCGTTCACTTAATAATGAAAACAGCCGGACTAGGCATTTCGCACGAAGCACAGCAACAGCGATGAATAAGGTTGGCTGGCTTAATAGGATAAGGCGGCGCTTCGTATTCATTAGGAAGTTAACGTATACGTAACACGTTTGCGATTATATCGGTTAACTGACAACCGTTAATGCCTTTAACAATGACTCTTCATAATTTATAGAGTATAAATAATGGACGAGTACAATTCGTGCTTCTTCCTTTTACGATGCCATATTACGTAATATAATATCCTTTCTATTGTTTTGTTTAGTTGTTTAAATATATCGAGTATATTTATCCGAGTATATTATCCGTGTATTTTATTTCGCAAGCTCGCATGAGTTATTGTTAATAAAGAACGTAGTATATTTTCATAGTGAATATAATGGGTATTATTAGGAGGAATACGACAACGAGATAACAAGTAGAATATTTGTTACTTTGTTTACGTATATTTTGTATACGAACCTGAGTGGGTACTTTTTGTATCCATAGGCGGCGGGGGGTCATCAAGTGGCCAGCGCATGGTATCTTACGTCTCAATAAACGTGATGCTAAGAAAGGAAATAAATATATGAATAAGTATCGCAATATATTGGAAGGATTCAAGTGAATTTATTTTTAAATAAAATATATAAGATATATAAAAAGAAGTAAGATATATAAAAATAAAAAGAGAGATTTATTGTAACGTTGATGAATACAAATAGACACAGAAACACTTTTTTGCGCGCGCGCGTGCACGCAAAAATACATATACCCGTGCGTGTTGGACGCCTTGACGGTTTTATACTTCCATTAGAGTCAATGTACTCGTTACATTTCTTGTTGCTCGACGAACGACCTCAAAAGATATTCTCTACAAAGTGTTATTTTTTTATTTCGCATGAATAAAACGTGTGTTTTCTTTGGAACCACGGTAGGCTCTTATACGTTATCAATTAGCAAGTACCAAGATAAAAGAGAGAAAGGGATAAAAGAAAATAACTTCTCTTTTTTAAGAGCCCCGTTCTCGTTGTACAAACGCTGCGAGCCTAAAGATCGAAATTCCTTGAAAAGAGTGTAAAGGCTTTCGTAGGTTTCTTTGAAAGAGTTCATCATTGTTCGGTGTTTGATTTAAAATGGAATGTGTCAATGTGCATTCAACGACCCTTTCTCAGATTTACGTACACTTATCATTGTGCAATGTGAATCGCCCACTTTCGGCTAGGGCACAATGCATTTCACCAGGTGTTATTCACAATGACTATTCATTCGACACATTGTAAAACATATCCACAAGAGTTGAAGGATCGAACTCAAACTTCTCGATAAATGCGTGTACGGTAATGTACGCATAATTTATTATTCAAGTGTGAAACAAGAATTAAAATAAAAAAAAAAAACAAAAGAGAATGGGAAAAATAGATAGATAGAGAGAGAGAGAGTGAGAGAGAGAGAGAGGGAGAGAGAGAGAGAGGAAAGAGAATCGACAACGCAAGTTGTTAGAGTGGGGAGTGCGACGATCGAAACACGATGGGGTTGGTGGGTGGTAAGGAAGGGAAGAGGGAGCGCATGCTGGGTGTGCGTGTTTCACATAGAGAATCAAAGTAACGATTCTCAGCCAACAGAAATGATCGTAGAGAATCGAGGATTCACCTGCCTTCGTACATATTAAAATTTTTAAGGTAGAGAAATTGCTACAACGTTCTGTAATATTCAAAAAAGAGTGAAAGTGCGAATGGTCCTTTTACGATATTCCAATCAGAATTCACATTTAACAGGGTAAATTTGAAAAATAAAAAGAGAAGAAAAAGAATAAAGGCTAAGAAAGATAAAGGTATGTGGATGGATGGGAGAATTGAAGTTTGTCAAAACTCACCCTTGTCTAATGTCTCTTTGGCCGCGTGTATGACCTTCCTCCGTCTAAGTCCCTCACCGGCTGGGACACTCGTCATCGTCGATGCACTCGCGTCCTTTTCGGTAGCAGTTGCGTTTTCGGTCGTGCTTCCAGCCTCGTCATCGCTCTTCGGACACTGAGCCGACGTTATACCGCTAGGGGTAGTCGATGTTCCGTGGTGGTCGAGGAGATTGATCGGGGACCCCTCGCCGCCTGGCATAATGTCCCGATTGGACAGGACTGTCGTCCTTAACCGAGAACTCCTGCGCCTGAACTGGACTGATACCCTACCGACTTTACCTTTACCCTACCCAACATAGTTTCCCTCTTTCTCTCTCTCTCTCTCTCTTTCTCTTTCTCTCTTTCTCTCTCTCTCTCTCTCTCTCTCTCTCTCTCTCTCTCTCTCTCTCTCTCTCTCTCTCTCTCTCTCTCGTTTTCTAGTCGCTACCGTCGACGTCGACGACGACGACGTCCTCTTTTGCAAACTTGCGCCATCTGCACAGATGTCGTCGCACTTTCTCCCTCTCCCTCCCCCTCCCGCTCTCTTCTTCTATCTCTCTCTCTCTTTCTCTCTCCTTCTATCTCTTTCTATCTATTCTCCTTTGCGATCGATGAATCTCGCCTTTTCCCGTAGGGGGTGGTCTCCACACGACAAGGACGTATACCTCCTTTGAGTTGTTCGCCCCATTCACGGCCAATCCTCGGTACGATGGACTCATACTAGATTTTCATCCTTTTTCTCCATAGACATTTACGTATCTTGTGTGCTATTGGTATATTTCCTCCTTTTCTTTTTTCGAATGGAATAAAAGTGTCGATTATGAAGACGACGAGTCGACGCGTTCAAACGATCGATTCCTTGTCTCTCTCTCTCTCTCTTTCCCTATTTCTCTCTTTTTCCGTATCTTTGAATGATTGTAGGTATTAGACATTACGTCATTGACTCATACAGTTATACTTACGGTGTATAATCATAGGATAGGTGACATACATTGATTGTGATGGTCTATTACGTCGATTATTTTTATAATTTCCTTTCTTTCTAAAAGAGAAATAGTGGGAATGTAGGTGGATAGGGGGTGATGGCAGACAGATGCCACAATGCTATTATCACATCTACGTGTTTTCTTTTATTTTATTAAAATATTTAGACACTTAACTTAAACGCGTACCGATAGGGACAGTAAATAATTAAATTAAATACATTTTCCGGCACACAAAACGGTGCGCAAGAATTATATTGCATGACCGTGCTCAAAGTTGCCACACGTTCTTTTCTTGTTTCTTTTTCTTTTTTCTTTTTTTCTTTTTTTTTTTTTTTTTTGCTCATACTACCTATCCTTCTGTCAAATATGAAAATATTTAATACAGAGACGTTCGCAGGATCCTGACGAATATAATAAACTAAATCCTTTATACATTTTTACATGATGTATTTTTCATCGTTCAATCATCGGTGGCAACTCGCCGTTAAATATTCCACGAGCAAAAAATTCGTCGTAGACATATCGAAATTCTTCATCTATCTTCGCTTTTAAAAATTTAATCGCATTCACGAGATTATTGTAAATTCCTACGGCTTTACATTTTCTTGCTTATGTTTTCTTCATTGTCGTTTCTATATCTCTTCGGCAACCGAGAAAAGTGGCTTCGGCCTCGATGAAAGCAAGCTTCTTTTCTACGTTTTCAAATAAATACGAAACATTTATTGCGATGTCCATCGAATGCATTCCTTATTGTAAAACAGGGCGTTTCTGCATTCGTTGAACTTCGCAATGAAAAACCTACGTCGAATCGAAAACGAAGTTTTATTATTTAATTTTCTCAAAGATCCTTTCTTCGACTTCTTTCATCTCAAACGAATTTCACGCTCTGGTTTGGTCATTACACATCTTCCTCTATAGCAAATCTCGGTCATGTGAGAGACTTTAGTCGTCGTCGACGTTCTCAGCACTTTACCGAGTATCGTTTCCGTCGTGTTGTGTTCACTAATTGTATTGTATTCCGATGTCGTTGGTAATGTCGTCGTCGTCGTCATTGTTGTCGTCGTCGTTGATAAACTCGTTGGTGTCACCGTCACCATAGATTCATCTTTGGACAATATATCGTGTATTTCGGTGTCTAAAATCACCGTTGGATTCGAATGATATTCCGACGTAGACGAACTCTCGTCTTCAACGTTTTGCATTGCGATTGTCGTTGGTGTTTCCTCTTGTTCCAATTTTGTCGATGAATTATCTTCGGCTTGAGTCGTATCTTTTCTAACACTGATAGAACTCGTTTCCAATGGGGAATTCGTCTTAACCTCGTTGTCCTCCCTTGAATTCTCCAAGGAACCGATCTTATTATTTTTCTCATTGTTCATGGATCTCTCATTGGATCTCTTCTTATTTTCTCTATTTTCCTTCAAATCGTCAAATACATTTTGAACATAATCCGTAAGAATTTTAACTTCGGTATTGTTATCCTCTTTATTCCCTATGTCCTTCTTCGAGATTTTATTCCAATCACTTATTTTCCCGTTTTTATCGTAATTCCAAGTGGAAAAGAGTGAATGATTCAAGGCTATCGAAGAATCTGATGGATATCTCACTTCGCTCCATTTAGCTCGGTGATTCTTCGGATAGGAAATATCGTCGTTGTCCTTTGATTCTTCGGTCTTTGTACTTTCGACGATGGGAAAATTTTCCGTCGTCGTATCGATCGTTTTAATCGTCGTTATTTCAGATTTTTCTACGATCGGTGTGGTTTCTAAAGAGATATCGATGGAGTTTAGATCGTTTAGAGTCGTTTGGGAATTACTAAAATCAGTGGTGATGATTGTTCCAGTTTCCTGAGTAGTCGGTATTTTAATGTTCTCCGTAGACTCTCTTGTGATCGAATCTTTGGAATTAATGCGTGTACCGTAATACTGAGTGGTGGTTTTTAAAGTTTCTTCGGGGTCAAGTGTTCTTTCTAATTCCTCTGGCATAGTCGTAGGTATATTAGTTGTAGTACGTAAAAATTTGTAATTCATTGTTTCTTCTTCTTCATACGGAGATGTCATTGGTGTTGATGTTAGCCAAACGTTCGAAGGTAATACCGTACTAGTTGATGTTGCCAGTATGGGTAAGGATACGTCATCGTTTTTAAACATTTCCTCTAGAAAATCTTCTAAAACGAATCGTCGCGATCCGTCATCGGTTGATCTCGTAATACTTGACTTATTCACGGAAAACTTTCTCTGACGAATCGGATTATATTTGTATTGATCTTGCATTAGACTGTTAACGGCGGCGTTGATATGTTGAGATTCGGCCGTAACAAAATCATCGATGATTGGTCTTACTCGGACTCGTACTCTTTTCCTTCTGTTAGTCTGCAAGAAAAATTGTGATATAATAATGTCGAACGAGGAATAATATAATTCATAGGATTAATTAAAAATCTTAATAGAGACGAGACGACATTTACCTTTCTAACTCCAACAGGATCGCTATTTTTCTTTAATATTTTTTCATCGTCTTCCTTCTCCGTCGATTCTTTCGACAAATTTTCTTCCTTCGATCGCCATCTCTCATCATCGTAATTTTCGAACGAGCTTACTTTTTGTTGACGTTTCATTGGACTCTCCGTGTGATCGCGCATTGTCATTTTTTGTCCAAACACCGTAGTACCCTTTGACATAGATTCTTCCTCGTCCATCATCAATTTCATTCCATCGCTATTCTTCAATTCGGAAGAAACTACGAACGTTAATGAATTCTCTGGACGAACCGTTATAATATCAGTGATTTCTCTAATGTTCTCCTGTTTTGTACGTTCCTCATTGAATCCACCAGTAGCATAATTAGCCGCGAAACTTGGTTGAAAAGAGGTACGAGATAATTTGGTAGACCATTGACTCTCGGCTCCGTAAATGTCAGCAGGCATTAAATGTGTGTCACTTAAGGTCGTTGATTTTAAATTCGTTGAATGACTGTACTTCTGAGGAGAATTACTTCCCAATTGTGTTTGATCATATTCCTCTTGTTGTACTTGCGTTTGAGGAGCTACCGCTCCAAAGTTCAATACAAAGTCCTGCGGTGGATACTGGAAATGTTATCTTTTTATTTTTGATCAAATTATTATTGTATACGTTATATACTCACGTTTTCCGTAATTGATTTATAAGATTGATCTGGTTGATTATAAGTTTCACCAAATTGGGATAGGCTATCGAAATTTTCATCGTAAAGAGTCTGCTGCTCCCCGACTGTTTCCGGAAGTGCCGGAAGTACACGTGGATAATTTCCTTCCAATGGTACTTCGTTATTCACATCATAACTAGACTCCGTTGTGCTGGTCGTCGTGAGACGTTTTCTTCCAGGACGACGAGTCCTGGTACGAGTTCGACTTTGTTTTATATCTTCTGGTTTGTAGTTTGGTCTTACTGTGTACACCGAATTATCGGGATTTATCGTGGCCTGCGGTATATTTTCTGTTGTAGTCGTAATAATCGGCGTCGTAATTGGTAAAATCGTTGATTTAATCGATGGCCGTCGATTCGTTGTATGATATTTCGGACGATTCTTTAAAGAATGACTCGGAGGTGGATTGTACTCTATCTCGGTCTCTTGAGCACTGGCAGAAGGTTGTTGTTGTTGTTGTTGTTGTTGTTGTATCTGTAATATAAAGTTAATTGCCATAGAGTATAGAATATAGTGGTGAGTTAACAACCGTATATCTATCATATCAAATAATAAATATAACATGAAGTATTTTAAATGGTACACGATTTTGGCAATTTCCCTAAAAGTATATCGATCAAACTGTGCAACTATTAATATATCACTTGGAACGCGAACACGTTCGAGTACAAATGAGTGAAGAATTATAGTTGTAATTTAAAGTTTGTGTCAACGCAATATTATATTGAAAAAGATATGTCGAAAATGAAGGCGAAGTTATCTATATGTTTAAAATGAGGAAAAGTTCTAAATATAAGAACCCTCTTTTAATTATTAAAAAACGAATGACGCATAGGATGATTATTATAACCGATAAGAAGACACCATAAAGAAGAAACTTACCGGTAAATTGTTTATTTGTGGCAGTATTGGCTTGAAAGTAACAGGTGGTGCATGGAATCGATTGTCCACCGGATGCACTGGTCGGAAGCTAGGAGGTCTTATAAAACCATAATCGATATCTTCTTCCAAGGGTTGTTCGGTAGTTGTGGTGGTTGTAGTCCTCGGCGTTGTTGTTGTAGTTGTTGTTGTTGTTGTCGTCGTACTCGTTGTCGTAGACGGTGTGGTTTGTTGTACAAGAGATCGTTGTCTTTGCGAACCAGCCTGAATCTTCACATACTCATAACCACTCGTTTTAACTTGGCTTTGTGGACGCGATCTCGATTTCGTTCTATGACGATGACCGGACGATCGTGGAGCATCTTGTTGATTGACAGCGCTAAAACGCACGAATTCGTCTTGCGAACCTCTTGGACGAGTTTGCACGACCGAATCGGAATGCGTTCGGGTACCAACACGACCACGAACACGTTGTCGTATTACAACTGGAGTTGCTTCCGTTGTCGTACTAGTTTGCGTTGTCATCTTTACAGATAAAATAACATTTTTATAAATACTTCAAAGAATCAGGAGATAAATCATGTATTTTTGAAAGTTCAAAATAATTGGATTTAAGAGGAGGGTCAAAAGTGAAAATATTCTTTCCCTATGCTATTTATCTATATCAAATAATAATTATACCTATTTAACTTTTTTATACAAAATTAAAAACTTACACACATTGACCGCCGAAGTAATGTTCCATAAATCGATATATTCATCTAATAACTTTTTGTAAATAAATGATACAAGAGAATTTATAATCATAGTCATATTATTTATATTAGATTTTACTCTTATTAGGGATTGTACTTTAAGTCTTCCAAATATCACCAAAAAAGAGATGTCATTAAAAATTCAAGAAACTGAATATTGATAATTGATGATCTCTCATGGCATTCAAAGAATAAAAAATATTTTTTTCGTATTAATAGTATGAAAAAAAAAAGAGAAAGAAAATTGAATACGAAGTAGACATTATTTATACACATACTACATATATCAATAATTTAAAAGTACAGAAAATGCATTACCGTGGTTAATGGTTCTTCTGTCGGTGGCGCTAACAAATCATAAACTTCTTGCTTCTCTGGTGGAAGCGGGATGAAAATTGGTTCTTCGCTTGGATCCGCTACAACGCTACTTCCATCTACCTTTCTATCTTCGACTTGTCCAAAGTTACCATGCTCACCAGTTGGAGGATAATTCAAGTGGGATTGAACCTGTGCTACTTCGTACGGAGGAGAATATTGTTGGGCTGTCTCATCGATCTTACTTCTTGGATTTTCCGAAGTACCGCTTAAACCAAAATCTGTATTCTCGAGTTTCTCAGCGTAATAAGCGGTATAGTCCTTAGATTTCTGAACGGTCGGTTGATTGCGAGCCTCGCTGTTCTGAGCTTGGTAATTAAATCCATTGACTGGCGCTTTCTCAAGAACGGTTTGATCCAATTCATCGAGTTGACTTCCATAGGCGGTAGGATAGTTAGCATCTTGGGGATAATTCTGAGGATAATTTTGTCCCTTAGAATAGTCTTCCGTTGCAACCGGCGTGTTGTAATTCGGTGTAGTTTCACGGGGAGGTGGATAATTCTCAGTAGAGCCAACGATGGTCGATGGATAATTCTCTTGAGAGAAAGCGTTCAAATTTGAGGTGGGTATACTTGATTCTTGTTGTTTAGAATTATGCGAGGGTGTGCCTGATTGTGAATATGAATCAGTCGGTGTGGACGTGATCGATCCATCGGGAGCACTATGCTCATAAATTGCAGCTTGATGAGCTTGAATATTGTAATTTTGATCGTAGGCCTATATTGGGAATAGAAAACAAATTTTTTTATTTTTGAGATATGAAAAAATAAAATATCAAATTACTTTTCACTATGCAAAATAATCGTACCTCGGATTGATAAGCCGTCTTATCGTTATTCCTATGTTTTTGACCTCTTGGCCTTTTATGATGATCTATATAGTTATACTTCTGTGTAGTTTCGGAATGTTTCGACTTGGTAGGTTCGTAAACCGGTGAATCGTTATACGATTCGGTAGTCGTTGTGTACCTGGATCCACTTCTTGTTCTACTGTAGGGTCTTCTAGATCTATCGGACGTTCTAGTACCAGGAGTTGTGGTGGTTGTGGGTCGTGTGGGTACTATCCTACTTCTATTAAAAATAAATCGTAGTGATTATTTTTATATTATGTCTGGATATATTTTTATATCTTTATAAACTAGATATACCTATGACGCGAACGTGGCCTATAAGTGGTCGAGGGTGGCCTGGGTGTGGTAGTCGTAGTCGTAGTCGTTATAATCGCTGGTGTTGTTACAACTTCTGTCGTTGTAGTAGTTGGAATCGCTGTTTGCTTCTCAAGCAAAGAATTAACCAACCCAGGTAGATGGGGTGAAATCGGTAACTCAGCAGGTAAATTATATTGCGTTGGACCTCTTACTTCATTAGCATCATTCGAGGAAACTAGAGATTGGAGAGAATTAATGAAATGAGGATTTGATTGCGTATACGTATTATGATTTTCGACAAAAGAATCTTTGTTGTTGTTGTTGTTGTTGTTTTTGTTATTGTTAGCATTTCTTTGTTGGGCAAGTTCTCGATTAATCAATGCTAATTGTGCGGCTAAATCTTGTTCTTTCGTCGACGGATCATCCAATGTCCTCGATGACTGTTCTGGATAATTCGGTGTACTCGAATAAATTGCTTCCTCTTGATAACCAGTCCCAGTGATACCCAATCTAGTGTCATGTGCCAAAGTAGGAACTACATGTCTGGAATCTTCATCATAATATGTCTTTTGTTTGGCTTTTCCAATCGGGAGTGATGGCTCACCTTGGTAAATAGTGTCGATTACGGAAGGAGGATTATTATCTCCGTAGGATTGCCTAAATCGGAATCTAGAACCACTAGGTGTTGATATCGTGGAATACGAAGTATCATATTTTGGTGTACTGGACAATTCTTGAGTATAACCAGCAGTGGTTGAATGTTCATAGCCTAGTGTGGTGGGATCTATCCGACTCAAATCACTTCCAGTCCCATCGATGTAAGAGTTTGGTTCTATAAGAGGTGTCGGGCTAAAATTATGAATAGTTTCTGGTGTATCGGGTTCGGGAGCTGAAGCATCGATTGTATTCACGACGACGGATCCGATATGAGGAGCTGGGAATGGGATTTTAGAATATCCTGGTGGTGGATCGAAGCTAAGCGGTGCCACGAAGAAAGGTAACTTGTCAACTTTTCTTTCAACTCGATTATGGTCGATCGACGATAAGTACGGGAGATCAAACTTTGTGTAACCAAACGGTGGATCTAGATTTGTTGGTCCTACAAATACTTTAGGTGTATTAGGTACAACCGTGTCTAAAACTGCGATTGTTTTTGCATCTTTGAGAATCCTTAAAACATCCGAAATTTTGACTCTCTCTGGTGCCATGCTATCACCACCCATGTAAACGGAAAGAGGAGGTTGATTGGGCGATGGTGGTGGGGTTGTAGTCGGTAATTGCTGATTGATTCTTGGACGTGGTTGTCTAACGCGACTTCTATGTTTTACCTTATTCGAGGTTTCTGTGACATGTTGTCGTTGTAACTGTTTGTTACGTACCAAAGGAAGAGTTTGAGTGTCCGGTTGATTTTGATTAATATTCGGAGTAACCGTGCTCGCTTCCACCTGTCTCTGTTCTTCTAATTTTCTTTGTTCCTCCAAGGCACGTTGAATATCCAATTGTTTTTGTTTTTCCAATGCAGCAAGCCTTTCGTTCTCTCTTTGCCTAGCTTCTTCCTCTTGTCGTCGTTTCTCTTCCTTCGCTCGAGCTTCCGCGATTCTTCGTCTTTCGAGTTCTTCCAATCTCTGCTTTTCTCTCGCCTCTCGAAGTCTCTCGAGTTCTCGTTGCTTCGCTATTTCCTCAAGTTTTTCGAGTTCTTTTCTCCTTCTCTCCTCTTCTCTCTGTCTTGCCAATTCCTGTTCCTTCTGCAGAATTTCTTGCTCGAGCTGAGCCTTCCTCTCCAACGCTTTCTTCACATCTTCCATTCGAGTGATCTCCTTCGATCTTTCCTCCTTCACGAACTCCAACTGGTCCAACAAATCTCGAGCGAAAGCATCTGGCTCTTTTGTTGTTTGCTCAACACCATCGTTTATTCGATATTGCTGCTGTTGCTCCTGATGCTGTTGCTGACGGAAAGGATATTGCTTTTGTCCTCGTAATCTCTTAGGTTGACCCCTTTGTTGAGCTAGCGTTTCTAGAGGAACGTAGACTAGTTGGACCTGAAAATAATAATGAAATTATTAAAACTTAATAAAAAATAAGATCACGCAAGAGAAAGAATCGTTAAACGACATCTACCTCCTCGTTTTCATTCTCTACATTTTCAGGTAAGCCCGAAATACCATGTGCCGTTTGACCTTTCACTTGTTTTCCAGTTGGCCGATATTTTTCTTGCTTCTCGACAAAATCTTTAATGTTTTCACGAATATCAACTTGACTCAATTGATCCGGACTTTGTTCTTCTCTCAATCTATCCTCATGACCTTCGCTATAGACTTGACTTTTGCTATTATGCAAGTTTCCAAATTCTTCGTTTTTAACGTTTAAATTCTGATTACCCTTTACTGGCTGATGAAACCGCTGTAATCCTTGCGAGAGGAAGTTTTGAGCAGAATAAATGGGCGGAAGAGCATCGGGAGAGGGTAATGGTGGTACTAACACGTCCGAACTTAAACCTGATATACCTTGCAAATTCGGTATCGTATTTTGCTGCAGCATACGTTTCTCATTTTCCGGGCTACCGAAACTGCTCGGTAGAAGCGTTTGAGACTAAAACGTAGAAACAAGATAGCAATATTTATTAAAATCAAAATATGAGTAATGATTCTTTTTATTTATTCTTTTATAATAATAAATTACCTGTAATAACTGTTGCTGTGTCCTAAGCTGTTCCTGTAAGATCAGCAACTTTTGAATATTCTCTTGAGTCTTTTGCAACTGCAAAAGTTGTTGCTGATATTGTTCTTGAAGTGCTGGGGGTAAGGAGAGAGATGGAAGATGCGGTAGAGTAGAACTTCCCGATGAAACTGCTTCATTTCCAACGTTACTCGTTCTAATTTGATTCGAAGTACTTCTTGGATTTGCCAATGGAATCCAATCGTTATTTGATACTTGTCGTGACCATCGTTCACCGCTGATACCACCAATTCTTACGCATAGAATTAGACCAGTGGATAGTAGTATCAACGACCAGCACCTCCGCACGATCTGAACAAACGAAATTAAAGGGATTTCAAACTCTTTGCCAGTTACTTTCACAAAGTTATTTCGATAAAAGTGATTCGCGATTATGTCATCATTTTCTTTTTTCTGTGGTAATAACAATTCCAACGAGGGGAATAAATCAAAGGAATTCGTAGAAAGTCAAAGATTATAATATCATACGGCCATCGTTGCCGTAATGATAATGTCAAAAACGAAATAAAACCGCAAGCTCGTAGCGTCGATCACGAAATGTATAAGAAATTCTTTAAATTTCTTGCGGGGTACCGATAAATTAACTCCCCGACGACGCTACTCTCTGATGAATCCTTGCGGTTTATCGTGGTAACGAGACCGATGTTAAACGTATTTATTTCTTAAAAACTTCAATCATTTCAAATTATCTCTTCGTGATATCTTCTTATATATTTCTCGATTCGGCAATCTCTAAGATAATTTTGTTAATTACAATAAGAAACGAAAGAGACCATTTTCTATGAGGAAACGATAAAGAAGTTCCTTCGATTTTTCATCTCAAGAGACTTTGAAAAACTGCGAAACTTATATCGGTGTGTGTCTATGTGCAAAGAGAAATTATCGATTATCGATACAATTTTCCGTTTCATTTCCGCTTCCGGAAGTTTCCGATCGCCTTCGTAAGAGATTTTCTTTCGCTTCTAGCGATACGATGAACCGTGAAATTCGTAGTTACAACGTATAAAATCGTTTTGCTGATATCAAATGAGAAAAAGGGAGTGGGAGAGAGTGGTAGAGAGTAAAACAAAATTTTTTAACTTTGTCTCTTCGATTTGTCATATTATATGCGTTAAATACCTTCTTTCAACATTCTAGATTACAATTTTTCGCGCGTAAACATAGATCACATTTTATTATGGCCATTCCAATGTGCGTCAGTGAATGTAGTTGACCTTCTCTCCGTTATTGGTACTGTTCACCGAAAGATCTATGAACGTATTTACGTGCGTAAACGTCACGAGTACTTTAAATATTTCACTCTATTTTTATTTCCCTCTATTTTATTTCTTTTTTCCTTTTTTCTTTTTTCTTTTTTTTTCTTTTTTTCTTTTTTTTTTTCATTTAACTTTATTTCGAAATATTCGAAATATTATAATATTTATATTTTTTATATTAAGTAAAAAATAAATGTTTCAAAAATATATAATTACATATTGAATATGAACAAAATTAATCCCTTCGATGAAATCCATTCGATCGAAATATAAATCTCATACTGGAGGATTATCGTGCTTTTTAATGCTGTTAATTTTCTCTGAAACGTCAAATCAAGCGATTATGATAATTTTACTTGAAATTAGGATTATTATTATCGGAAAACGTACGGATAGATGCTAATATAGAAAAATATTTCTCCGTTCTCGTCATCTTAAATATCATTATTATAATCATTAATCATTGCCGTCATTATCACCTATATTATCGCCATTATGAGAATCGAGATCGTGCTGCACGAGCCGCAAGATCTGGAGTGCAACCGAACTAACGAACTGTGAAACGTCTAAAACCATAGCGTACCAGTATTTTCTAATAAATACTTAGACAGGCCGAGCAAACTTTTGCCGGATCTTTATCCACCGTGAACATTCCTGTTTATATTAATTAATGTTAATCTTAAATAATAACACGAAGGAGAATGTGATTTTAAGAAAAAGAAAAAAAAAAAAAAAGAAAAAAAAAAAGAAAAAAAAGTAAAGAAGAAAAGAAAAAGAGAAGAAAAATAAGAGAAAAAGAAAGAAAGAAAAATTTTAACAAGCTCGAGCTTTTACGTGCGAACAAAGAGAAAGTTTTTTTTTCAGTTTAATACAATCATGTATATCTATGTATGTACTACTGACATCATTTAGATTATGTGCCACAATACACGGTTGAAAACAATTTTTATTGCGGAAGATCGCGTGTCCGTTACGCCGTACGATTTTTCTGCTTTCTTCGTTATTCTTGCCAAGTGCATTCCACAAGAGTAAGATATACCCATGTAGGTATGTGTACGTGTGTGTGTATAGATGTGTGTATTTATGTGTGTGTGTGTGTGTACATGGTACTTCAGAAAAATAAGTTTCTCGAGTGAAATATAATCGGGCGATATCTTACAGATTGTCTCAAAGTAACTAGCTCCGTTGCATAATATTTTTTGCATTGTTCACGAATGAAAAATAGCATTGTACAGGATCTAACGAAGTTTCCATTAAGGGGAGGTGGAATAAAAGGAAAAAAAAAAGAAAAAAATGTCAATCATACCAGTCAATTAAAACTCGTGACTTGCACCTTTCATTTTTTTTTTGAAAATTTACTGACATTTCAACTTTTTTTTTTTTCTTTTTTATATTCTTTTTTCTTTTTTTTTTTTTTGTGATATTATTTCTCAGTTCTCTTTCGAATCTGAGAGAAACGATAAAGAGCGAGATCGATTGTGGCTCGTAACTCCGGAGAAATTACTTTCTCTCATTTGAAAGAAACGTATGGATGTTTAGAATGATTTTCCTTGCAGGTCTCCCTTGTCTGTGCACCTTTAAAACAACACGTAACGTAACGTCACGAAGAGCAATTTTAACGTTAAACGTGTGCAATTATCGATCCCTCCTCTGTGTACAGAACGCGTATAGTTAAGAAGGCGTTAAAAAGGAGGTCGGCACCTTTCTCTCCTTGCCCGGAATCGACACGGCATCTCCCCTCATACTTTTTTTTTTTTTAACACAGATTAAACATTATCACGTCAAAATTGTGATAGGAAAAAATTTGAATTTATCCTTAAATAATATAGTTCCTTTTTAAATTGTAAAATGTAAAAGTTAAAATAAAAAGAATTCGATATATATATATATTTTTTTTTTTTTCAAATATTTTATTTAAATTAAATATCATTCAAATGAATTACAATCAATTCGTTAAAATTAAATTAGATTTTAATATAATTTAAATTAATAAAGTTAATTTTAACGAAAATATTAATAAAAGAAAATTGTTATTCGTCGCGCAATATTATTCTTAGAAAAATATTAAATTTTCCTTTGAAAATTTCTTCGGTGTAATTTAATCATTAAAAGTGCCTCGTAATATGGTCGTAAATAACGTTGAAACATCATCACTGTATTTGTTAATACCTAAGAGATAGGATATTGTCGAGTATTAAAGTCGGATAACTAAAAGTAAAATAACTAAAAGTAGATCGTATTACTACGTACCCGATAATTTCGCAGAGAATCACCTATCTATAAAATTTAACGATAGTCGATGATTAAATTAATATCTATCGTTTACCATATAGTTATCGTGGTGTGATACGTACAAACTATATTTATTATTAATAACCTTAACGAGTTCTATACGTTAATTAACGTTAAGAATTTTAAAAGCATTAAATAACTTCTAACGAAATCAAATCTACATATGTAACATAATCAAGGAAACACCAAAGGAAATGTCATATTTGCAACCTTCGGAATTTCATGCTCCACTTATTCGTATGCACTGCCTTTAGTTTCTTGAACTTTCGTTTCTCCTTCTTTTATCGATAGGTTGACCATTCGATCGAAGCACGACGACGAATCCAACGATTAAAATATTCTATTTTAGTCATTGTAAATACACATACATACATGCATATACATATATACATACATTATATATATATATATATATATATATGAATACATACATATTTGTATGTGTATGTATACATAACTGGAACGCTTATCCTTCTATGTTAGCGCAAGAACGCGAACTTTTGACAGATCAATAAGAACGATGAGAACTACGTAGATACGTAGGTACATAGCTACGTTGGGAGATCTCCTTCCAAATATATATACTAACTCAGGGACGTTATTACTGCTTGGATAACATATGTCGGTCGTATGAAATTGCATACTTGGAATAATTATGGATTGGGAACTTACTATTGCAATAATTTCAAAAGAAGACGGAGGCTTTCGGGAATTGTGAGAAAAAGAGAAAGAGAGAGAAAGAGAGAGAGAGAGAGAGAGAATATTCTGTGAAAATGAGAAAAATCGAGATTAGACAAAAAAATAAAGACGAATAATGAATGAAAAAAAGAAAGAAAAAAAAAAAGAAAAGAATGTAAAAATATCAGGTATTCATATTTTTTTAATCAAACTTTTTTCCTTCCTTCCTTTTCCTTTCGATTAAATGAAATATGATTTTTCATATAAATACTCCATTGCCGTTGAAAGAAAGAAAAGCGCAGGATTCGCCTGAAAGAAGGATGTACGTGACGTTAGGACGAGCGAGAAAATCGCCCTTTTTATTTCTTTTTTCCTCGAGAAAAATCTTCATTTAATAACGTTGCGTTCCATCTTCTCCCTTTTCTCTCCTTTCAGAAAAAAAGAATTCCAAAATTCAATTCATCGTGTCGAATCATAGAAAAGATATATATATATATATTGTTTGCCTTTTCCTCATTTATTTTTCTACTCTACTTAATACGAGCAGGAGTACCATTGCCATCAAAGGACTGGTTTCTTTCTCTTAGCGTTTGACTGATGCTGCTGTTGCTGTTGTTGCTGATATCACCGAGAGTAGGCAGTAGCAGTACCAGCAGCAGCAGCAGCAGCAGCAGTAGCAGTGCCAGCAGCAGTAGCAGTGCCAGCACCAGTAGCAGCACTTTACACGAACGGACACAGGTTTCATCGGCGTGCCACTTACGTATATATCTTGTCTTGTATAGAACTTTCTTCGTTGGCCCCACCTTTACTTTCGCCTTCGAACATTTTTTGAGAGTGCCCACTGTCCCACGTCTCGTTCTGTTCTCTCGAGGCGTATGATTCTCCTCTCAGATCATTTCGAATCATACACGTACCTATCTCTTTCTCTTTCCCTATAAAAAGAGACTAAGAGAGAGAGAGAGAGAGAGAGAGAGAGAGAGAGAGAGAGAGAAAAGAAGAGAGAGCGAGTGGTGGAAGATCTGAGAAAAAGAAAGAGAGAAAGAGAGATAGGTAGGTACACGCCCG